TAGATTTCCTATCATAAAATGTCTCACCAAATAAGCAGGTTTGGTGAAAAGATCTATAGTTAGCCATCAATGGCTAGATAGCCACCCCTCCACTCTGGACAGGTTCGTGTCTCAGCAAAGCGCCGACCAGCTCAGTATCCTCAGAGTTCTTCTGGGAAGAAAAAACTGTCGTGCTCCTCAAGCATGCAACCATCACACGATAGTGCAGTTGACAACCGACCCAACACTCACACCCCCCCATTGTGCACATCCCTCGAGTGAAATGCATTGCCGTAGTGGCCTGCATGATTTAGAAAAATAGCAACTGAATGGAGACAGGGAGCTGAGGATTGTTGGACTGGGTTACGGAAGATAGGATGACCGGAGATCTGGTCGAGGATATCGTCAAATATTTCTGGATTGACGTGCAGTTTCTGGCGAAACAAATGAGCCGGTGTTCCTCACGGTGAACCAGCATATGCAGCTGAGGTGCCCGAGGAGGAGGCTCATCAGGCTTGTGGAATACACGTGCCCTCTCTACCTCATCACGAAGAGCAGCAATTGTGTGCTGGAGCCAGTCGTAACGCACAGCAGCATCATCTGAGTCGTCAGATTGGTCACTGTGGCTGGAAATATCTGAACTGAGGCCCGAAAGGTGGGACATAGGGGACATAGGGGACATGGGGGATATAGGGGATGGGGAGGCAAAAGCCAGATCTTCCTCATCCAAGGTATAAAGCGAGTTAAGTCCGAGTCAGTATTAGAGTCTGAGTTGGAGTTGGAGCCCTGGTCATCCAGGAGTATATTCAAATACTGTGAGTTGGCTAATGCCAATGAAGCCTGATCAATGGCACGAAGGAGGTCTTCACGTGTAGACTGAGGAGGCATGGTTGTGACTTGGAACGGAGTGTTTTCTTATCAGTACACTCGAGATCCATCATCCAACTGATTAGGTGGAGTTTAAATCGGAGTTTAAATTTTTACCACGATTAGCACCAGATGTCATCGCTAGCATCTGCATCCTCCGTGCATTCCGTAGCTCGAATCTCACCATCCCTTGCCCCTTCCAGCATGATCTTACAGGTGGATAATGGGGAGGTATGCAATGGCGCCGGATGGGAGGTTGAGGATGTAAATGTGAGTAATTTTTCTTCATTTGTGCTCCTGCCCTCTCTGATCTCATGCTACTGCTGTTGTGTCTCCCAGCCACATGCCTGCACCTGCGCACCTGCGCACTCATACGGCTGTTGTTGTATCTCCCAGCCGGGCCAGCCCCACACACCTGTGTCCATGTTCCCGCCCTTCACACTGCTGTTGTGTCCCTCGCTGTCACGCGTCCAGCATTCGAATGCCGGATCAAACGGAATCCCCAACATGTTCGTTATCTTCTAGCACATGCTCCCGCCCTCTTACACTGCTGGTCTCCCTCGCTGTCACACATTCAGCATTCGAACACCGGATCAAAGGAATCCCCTAACTCTACCTCCTCAGCTCCATGCGCCCGCACTCTCACTCTCTCATACCTCCGTTCTGAATCTCGTGTTTCCCTCACTATCACACATTTCTTTTTTGTTCTATCCGTTCATTAGATACCTAGCTAATCTATATTTTTGTGTGTATACATGCCTTAAATTTGACTAAATGTTTCCAAAGTCCACTCTGATGCCACGTGTGCCATGGGTCTTGATGGCTTTCTGGCCGAGTTGTTGAAGACTTAGCGAGTTTGTAAAGACTTAGCGAGTTTTTTGAAGCTTTAGCGAGTTTTTGAAGTGTTCAAAACCTTATCGTGAGTAATACTAATAACTACCCCAGACCTACCTGGCTAAAAAGCTTGCTAATAATTGCCGAAATACTTTTATCCCGAACCCTAGTCTAGTATGTCGGAGATTTTTTACCGGCATCATAATGGTCACGCGTTACAATCAGGCTCAAAATGATTTTGACCCTCATTACGACCTCATTACGACGCCTTAAGCGGAGTTTGAATATCATGCTGATGCAATTCTGATTCGGATTACTGATATGACTTATACCTAGGCGAGGCGACACATGCTGCATCAACGGTTCTGACTCTGTACGCCTCTTTTCCAGTCTCATTTGTCTTCTTTATTCTCAACTGAACTGAGCCCTGGACCGTCTTGTCACTTTGATTTATAATCTTATTCTCTCGCATACCATCGATAACAACAACTTTTGTTCACTCCCATCGTCTATCCGAAGTCTACAGTCAGTCCAAATGTCTTCCCTATCCAAAACTCGTCGTTCTTCTGCTCAACAATTCTTCCAAGCATATCCAATTTGTTTAAACGAAACATATCATCTCCTCAATCATTGTCTGTATTCCTGACAGGCTTTGACGCTTGGTCCTCGGTATGCACTCCGTTACTCGCAGCTTTACGCTCTCACTCTAATATTATATGATCACTATCAGCTTGCTCGTTGCTCGTTTGCTACTTGACATCAATGCCTAAGTCAAAACAACGAGCATCAGACCTTGTGACGTGTGATCGATGTGGAGTGAATGTGCATGCACGTGGGTTAGGATCCCATTCGAGGTCTTGCGCGAAGAAGGAACGGGAACGGCAGGAGATGAGGAGTTTGTTAGCATAGTTCAGAAAGCCGAAAAGAAAGGTGAGCACTCGAATCAGTTGTCTTTCAATGATGTACTCGATAGATGGTTGATAATTTTTTTTACAGAACTTCGAAGGCAGCGTCGCAAAATTCGTAATAATTTACAACATTTGGAGGATGCGCAATCATCTGCAGGTGAGCACTCATATTTTAACAATAGTACTATGGTTTAGAATTTTCTTCTCGCAACACAGTGAATGCCACCGCGATATGGGCCGCAGACTCAGACATTGGTATGTTTGATTCAATTTGATTAGTGTTATACTGAGACTAACAGTATCAGTTATGCGAGGGTCTTCACCTCGCCAATACCCTCCGGCGGACCCATTACCTGACTTCCACCAAACCGATCCTGGTCCCAATGAACCAGATCCTGGTCCCAACAAGCCCGATCCTGGTCCCAACGAGCCCGATCCTGGTCCCAACGAGTCCAATCCTGATCTCAATCAGCCTGCACACAAGCTTGACGATATCAAAGTCGAGCATCATCCTCACAGCCAAATTCCTTCTACTGTGCATCGCTTCTCTGAGTTCTCTTGCAGCTGCCCAACAGAAGACTATGTACCTCATAACGACTCGCCATGGGAGCCATTCCGCACACGGCTTGATTTCGAAGTAGCAGAGATTGCACTCGAAGCTGCGATGACAAAGGATCAAACCAATCGCCTTATCAATCTCATACATCGATCTGCTAGTGGCAATGACATGTTCACACTGCAAAATCATGATGAAGTCCGCTCCCTCTGGGACCTTGCTTCGCAACGTTATACTAGAGTAAGTGTTGTCTTGTGTAGCTACTACTAGTACATTACCATAAGCTGATCATTAGTGCATAGTTTCAGAACGATGCAGTGTCTGTTCCCCTCGGAAATGAAGTGCGCAAATTCGACATGCACTACCGCCCTCTCTGGGATTGGGTCCTTGACTTGTTGCGAGACAAACGTCTCGCACCTCATTTTGTATTTGATGCTCAATGTCTCTCAAATTCAACGGAGAAAGATTTGTACGTTTTATTAATGAACCATGGACTGCCGATGCGTTTTGGAAGGCACAAGTATGTTTCGACATTTGATCTATTGTTTGTTTCTTTAAATTAATAGTATGCTACAAAACTGTTGTAATTGTAGTCGCAGCTTCCGCCCGATGCAAAACCACTGGCATTCATCCTCTATGCGGACAAGAGTAAACTATCGTCATTTGGGAGCCAAAAAGGCTATCCAATCATTGCGCGCATCGCTAACCTACCGGTTCATATTCATAACAGTAATACTGCCCTAGGAGGTGGTCGTGTCGTTGGCTGGCTGCCCATTGTTAGTATACTGACAAGCTTGTTCAGTTCATAGTAATGCTGACTGCCATTATATTAATTCAGATTGTTGAGGATCAAGAACATGCAAAAAAGAAGAACTATGTAGACTTTAAAAATGCTGTCTGGCATACATCCTTCTACCAGCTTCTGGCCTCGGTTGTGAAGCACTCAAATACAGGCTATTGGTTTGAATGCAGAGACGGAATCCGACGTCATCTCTGGCCCCTCATTTTAATCTTAAGTGCCGATTACGAAGAACAGTAAGTCATACTAGTACTACAAGTTAACTATTGTGAGCTGCTCATGTACAAATTATAGATGTATCATGGCATTGATCCGTGGGCTTAAGGGAAAATTTCCGTGTCCAGTTTGTTTGGTTCCACAAGATGAGCAGTCCATTCTCCGTACCCATGAGCTGCGCACAAGCCACCAATCTGAAGACATACTCCACACTGCAAGATCAAAGCCGTCTGAGAAGGAAAAAGAGGATCATCTAAAGGCTTTCTCGCTTCAAAACGTTGAGGTATGCATTTTCCTCCCAACTTACCCTTCCTCTTACAATGATTGACTTGTATTTCAAACAATTCACGACCTCATATGAAAAACTTCACTTCCTTCCCATTTTACCATTTCTGCTGTTATATCTATTACTATTGACAAGTTTGCTGATGTAATTCAATTGTTAGAATGTCTTCTCGAGAATCCTTCATGTCGATGTTCATCGTGCACTTTCTTTCGACCGCCTGCATACAAACGAGGAAGGATTATGGGGTGACCATTTGTGGAAGGAAGTAAAGTTTTGGATTTTGGACCTCGGGCATGAAGCGGCTGTCAAACTCGATAAAAAGTATGTATTGTGGCTATAATACATTGACACTACTTCTGATTCAGTGTCTTAGCTTCGATGAACTTCCACGATGGCCTAATTTAACACATTTTTCATCTGTCGTCGCAGTTGATTTCACTGATGGTTCTGTTCTCAGTGATCTGTCCAAGGTTTGTCTGCACCATCATAAATGATTTTAGGTACTTACACAAACTTAGATGATCGTTTTTGCGGCACAGGATATCCTTACTTCATCCCACTGTAAACTGGGACAGTTACTTCTTCGTTGCATTCACTACTACGTCGAGTTTGATATTTATGTCTCATTAGAAGTACATACAGAGGATACAATCGCAGCTGGAAGGCTGGCACTGCAAAAGTTCTCAGAAATGATGGATGTAAGTTGTTCCGATGTTTTCGATGACAATTGTCTGACTTTTCATTAGGAATATATTGCACAATCGCACCCCGAAACCAACAAAAATTGGAACTTTCCAAAGAAACACTTGGTCTCGCATGCATTCGACGATATTCTAGCCAAAGGTGTGACACGTAACTACAGTACCAAGCCAAATGAAAAGATGCATGGCTCTTTATGAAAAATCTATCTTCAACGCACAAATTTCAAGAATGTTGCTTCTCAGGTTCGTTGCTTAACTATATTGTTATGCAGATTCAGACCAATAGTTTTTAATTGTTACAGATTCTACACTATGATGAATGGCTTCTAACTTCGACATCCATGCGCTCTGAACTCGACAAACTCGACAAGTACAATCAACAAGACACCTGTGACCCTGAGACCAACGAAGTACTGGATGACTCCGACGCTGGAACATCTAAATCTACTACTATTCACGCACATTTAGGTTCAAGGCAGGGTAATAACTCTTTTTCCGACATCATGCACTTGCATGGAACTGACAGGGCCTTCACCAACTTTCGGATGAAGCTAAACGACTTCTTAAATGGCTTCCTGCCACAGAATAACATTCCATTACCAGATGGAAGGCGCATTCACATGCAAGCAGAGGATACAGTACATTTACTTTACATTCAATTGATAATACTGATGCATTTCTATCAGATAACAGAGTTTAGGTTCTTGCGGATCAATTATGAATCACTAGTCGACTGGTGCATGCACCGAGACCTACTCCGATGCAATCCAAAGTTCTATGGATCGCCGAGATACGACTGCGTCATCGTGAACACTGCAAACACACCATTCTTCACTCGCCTCGTATACATGTTCACTTGTTTGGTTGGCGGCACTGAATTCCCTCTCGCACTTATTCAGCCATATGACGTCGGTATTGCTAATAGTCGTCGGAGGCGGGATAATGATATGGGATTGTGGCGCGTGCGAGCCAAACCTCGCTCTTCTTCTGAAATCATTTCGGTTCGGTCAATCGTTCGGGGAGCTGCTCTTGCCAGAAATCCCGAAACAGATGGGGATTACTTCGTCATCCACACTGTGGACACTGACATGTTCCTTCGAGTCAAGGCACTCCAGGCTAGCGCTCAACCATTGTGAGGCAAGCTATTATCAGTATTGTTGGTACGTTTTTGTCTCCTCATCTTTCGCTTGCAACAAACTTTTATTGATATGCTCCTTCGCAGATCAATAACATGTACTAGTGGTAGTATTACAGATATTTCCCATGCCCTACCCACCCATTTGCACATTCCACGCAGTTCTGAACGACACCCAAAGACCTCGTCAGCCAAGATTCCCTGCAATTCCGGCAATTGAAGAATTTACGATGCGATGTGAGGACAGGCCTCTCGAGAACGACCTCACTTCTATTGTGACGCTCTATGATGGGCGCCTGAGCCTTATAATTGGCACTCTGATCGCATGCATCATGCGCAGGACATATCTCTGGTGAAGAACTGGTACTTGAAGCACTTCCTCCTAACCAGCCAGTCAAAGTTCGTATATCACATCAGAAGTTGTTCGAGTTGCTCAAGTGTTTCGTCCTCAATGAGCTCAAGAGTCAACCTGAGAATGCGATGACTAAAAGAATCTCTTCCGGCAGTTGAAGGCGACGAAGTTCTTCCAGATAACTCCCACCACCGCCCATCCTTGATCTTGTTGTCTTGCTTCATCGCACTATCATGCCCAGTAGCTTAGAGGGCCGATGTATCAGACTTGAAAGTGAGTTACTCCATATCACCTTCGCATCCGTTTGGTGATCATCACACTCTATTTACAGTTGTCAGTAGAAAAACACCTTAAATTTCCCTTGTAGCGCATTCCCACAAGCATCTACGTATCCATCACTCTCGACTCGAGCAGGCACTGGAAATCAGCCATCGGAGTCTTACCATTTGACGAATCCATCTTACGTTCATCTTGTATTGTTGTATTGCCTCTAATTCATTGACTTAATATTGGTTTTCAGACACAGTATCAAGCAATGCTAGAACCGGCGCCTTACCCTCGAAGTCGAAGATCTTGTACCTACTGGGACCACAGTATTCCTCGTATCAACACCATCTTCCAAAAGCATTGTTACACATTGTCAGCATATGGCTAGGTGGGCATCTCAGCGCCATGATGGAAAGTTCTGACAACTGAGCTACTGTGTTGAGGGTAGTGTTGCAATTGAACTGAGGTGACTTCAAAGTGAGTTCAATTCGGTTCAAAAATGAGGCTCGATTCATTTACACCTCATTGTAATAAGCATCAAATTAGGAACGAACAATCCTCAAACGTGTACTTTCAAGCTTCGGGCTGAGTCCATTACACTTCTATTCGTTCCACCTCGACCATCGAACCTAGAATGAACTCTCACCTCAATTCCGATCCGTTCAATTAGAGTATCTTGGAGCACATGCCCTTCAAATAAATTCCTCATGTGGGAGGCTCAGCTTGATCGGATAAGTATTTTCATGCACGGCAAGATGGCAAGCCCTCAACATTCACCGTTTTACAGACGTAAGTGACCTTATTTTATCTGAATCGTAAGACTTGATCTGTCCGCATGATAGTGTGTAGACTTGCAACGTGTAATATCACACATTGACCTGCGTCGTGCTGCGATAATGATTATGTACGTCTTCATTGCGTGTAATTTACCATTCAATTTGACTTTTTTGGTCACAGCCTCATGCCCTCAATGAGCCGATCAGCAAACCTGGACCGCGTGTATGATTACATTGAGTTCACTCCGACACCACCCGACTTCAAGATTGCATAAAATAGCATCAACTGCGAGATGGCTTTGACTCGACACCCTGTGACCCACCCTCTCAGGTTCCAGCTCGTTGAGCATACTATTCCTCCCCATTGCATAATAAATGTCTGACTCTGGCTCAAATCCAATATCCTCAAGTTCTGATTCAGGCTCAGACTCGGCGGATGAAGAACGGCCTGTGGCTCCACCGGGTGTTAACGCTTCTATCGAGCACTACCAAGAGGTACGCTGTTGCTTTCATTCAGATCATATATACTAAATTCTAACATATGCCTTGATACATTAGTATATTAAATACCTCCAGCTTCAACAAGGGCGGCTCCAGCAGCAGAATATGTCTCTGAATGAGAGTAACAACATTCTTGCTGTGCAACAGCTGAAACGTTCTCGCAAACGCCCATCATCCAGGGTACCATCTGTATCACAAGTATCTGTAGCGCCATCTGTGTCTTCTGCATCCTCCGTCGTAGCTTCTGACTCATCGAAGACGGGTGACATCGACTCGGACAAGCTTATTTTAAGCTTGGCCAAAAAGTATGCACTCACTACCGAGATGTTCCTCCCCGACAAGGTCATTTTTCAAACAGACTGTCCTGATCCTCTAGTCAATTTCTCGAATCCAAATCGTTATGTGAAGAGGTCTACAGAAAAGGATGCACTTGTTGCTGAACTCTATGCATCCATTGACCACGTGTTGCATGCTCGGATGCGAACAAATCTGTTCTTCAACCAGGTGCGTAGTTTTTCCTACCTCAAGTCATTAATATTATTGTTATAAATTTAACCAAAACTTCATTTAGTTTGGGAGCGGAATGCAGCAAGCTCGCTCTTCATTCCTAAACAGCCTGCGTACCGTTGCAGGTGGCATCTTCAACATGCCTAACGAATATTTCGTTTCCAAATACGACCGTACTTCCCTCCGGCAGGTCACAGACTTGATTGGATGGGAAGCAGGTAAGAGAAAGATGTATGATATCTTCAAGGCGCCAATACTTTACCCTGACCACATTGTGAATGAGAAGAAAATTTTCAAAAATTGGATTGTCATCGCAAAGGTAGTCTACTCATCAATAACAGACCCAGCTACTCATATGTTGTTTCGAAGGTTATCAAGGTTGCGATATGTGGAAAGATGTCATTGTATTCCAAAGCGCGTGGCGGACCACCTTCCTATGCCAAGATATGGAAGCTTACAAGCTGCACTCCTGGCCTGATTGCATTTGGCGTCACATCAGTAAGGTTTCAGTACTCTAAATTTATACTGAGCTGATACTCATCACGCCCTGTAGATCATATTCATCCTATCTCCGGACCAGGAATTTTCGGGCGATGGAGTTGGTGCTATTTCCTCGATCGCATATCACTCCATCTTTCAGACAGTCAAGAAATTCTTCGTTGTTAAGTGGGCCCACCAGCGCATCAAATCTATTGTCGACGAAATCAATGGATATGTCTTCGGTAGTACTGTAAAGATGCAGCCATCCGATGACACTCAGTGTACTGTGGAGCGGCGTCACTGAATCACTCGATCGCATTATGGCTGCGCTAGACGCCAGCGATTCAGACTCGAATGATGAGTCATTGGAATATGTCAACTTGCAAGAGCAGGCTAATAAAGATGTACACCTTGCCACTGTAGCCGCAGCGCCAACCATCGCAACCTTGCAACCTACTATGTTCACTGTCGACACTCCTCGACTTGAAGTTGCAGCCCCAGGGCCTGCTGTCATTCCACAACCTTCTATCTCAACTCCACCTATTCCGACACCCATGGCACCGCATGCAGAGACTTCGGCCAATCCCCAGGATCAGAGTGAGGATGCATTACCAGCCGCCGGGCTTATTGGTGTTGCCAAATCTCAGGCAAAGACATCCAGGGGCAAGAAGAAACCTAAGTCGTTGGCCAATGATATCACAACTATTCGCCGCTCCTCACGTCACACAACAACATGAAATTAGAGTCCTCTACCTTGTAGTTGTGTTCCTAGTCTTACTATCAAGATCTGATCACACAATTCCTACAGACACGAGATTTTAGCTCCATTGTAATCTGAGAATGTTTAGGTGTCCTTCGACTCGGAATGCATGCATATACTAGCCAAATGCCCCCACATACCCATAATCGTGAACGGAGCACTGACGAGTGCGACACCTCGAAGTTTGGCGTTGATCTTCACGCTGGACGCCCCCACATACCCATAATCATGAACGGAGCGCTGACGAGCGCAACACCTTGAAGTTTGGCATTGATCTTCATGCCAGACGCCCCCACATACCCATAATCATGAACGGAGCGCTGACGAGCACGACACCTCGAAGTTTGGCATTGATCTTCACGCTGGACGCCCCCACATACCCATAATCATGAACGGAGCGCTGATGAGCGCGACACCTCGAAGTTTGGTGTTGATCTTCACACCAGACGCTACCACATACCCAGTTTGCAAATTCAGATGCGCCATATTGATAACCTTTCAGCTAGTTCCTAATTACCTTGTCTACAAGGTTGACACTCACAGCCGGAAAGATAAAGTTATGCGGCCGTGGGAAGCAATGGTCGATAAATTTACGATATTGTTACCTTGTATCACTGTAACTAGAACCAGTAACTCTCAACATCCTCCACGGTCTGCTTTACTTTCCACTGTTGCTCTGTCTCCTTCTCCTTCTTGGCCAACATTTATGGTCTGAATCGACCTGCATTCTTCTGGCGCTACCCAAATGTCCGTCTATTAATTTTTCAACCTACAATAAAACACGCTGACTCATTTTATTCGAAGTTACGACTAAGAACATCAACAAGAACAAGGCCGCTGGAATCTGCTAAGGACGGAATGATCACCCACCAGCTCCTGAACCCTCACGATGTGTTTCGACCTGCAGGTCGGGGGCGAACACTCAACAGGTGATCACCCAGGAGGTACAACGTGTTCAGGCTGCTCAACGAACTTCTTTCCATCTCGTCTTAATAAAGACCGAGACACAGGAGGAAGTTCAAGACGATCGTAATGTCTTCTGATGCTCCCAAGACTGACATAGACGAGCAAACGCAACATGAGGCAGAAGTGGCGGCTGTTCTGGATGTCGATGTGGCACCTGAAGCTGACCTCGATGGTGACGAGTGGGGCGATCTCGATGCTGAGGATTTCGATGATCCATTGATGGTCAGCGAATATGTTGTCGAGATCTTCAAGTACATGAAGCAGACCGAGGTACGAGTCTCTGTATATTTTTATCATTCCGTTGTAATTAATGAAACACCTTAAGCTTATAACACTTCCTCATCCGAAATACATGGCATCGCAAAAAGAGCTGGCCTGGTCGATGCGTGGAATCCTTCTCAATTGGCTGGTGTAAGTACATGCACAGTTCTGATTACTTCATGCGACTGTGTTCCTCTGCATGAACATTGTCGAAAGGTTCTTGTCAGCATGCGTCGTCTCCCTCGCTAAACTTCAACTCATGGGCATTACGTCGTGTCTCCATTGCTTCCAAAGGTTGAAGAAATTGTTGCACCATCCATCTCGCACTTCCTTCACTGCGCGGACTCATCCTACACTGAATCCGATATCCTTCTCGCAGAGCGGTACATCCTGAAAACAATTGATTGGAACTTGAGCTATCCAAACCCGATGCACTTCCTGCGCCGCACACGCAAATCGGATGATCACAATGGGGAAACACTGGAGTGGCGGTTGCTGGCCACGCCACCTTCCCTGCTGCTGCTGCGCCGACCTGGTTGGGACACCTCATTCTCGGCAACAATAAATGGGTAAGTAGTGTAATATGTGCCATGTTCAATGTTGTTGATAACATTTCCGGGTTCTAGACTCTGAATCATGCCCAGAGCGATGGGAAGCGGGCGAGCGGGCGTCTCTTAGCTAAGTTACTGGCCATTCATGCAAGACAAGGGAGTAGCTAGCGGCAGCAGGCTTGGATGGTGATGAGTATGAAACTTCGTAAGTCCGGTGACATGCATTATCATTCAATATTCCTTCATCACGACTATCATTGTCCCAACACAACTGATGGTCAGCAGCAAACAGAGCAAGAAGGATGGGGGAGAGGGTCATTTTTACCGATATCATAATGTAGATTAGTATTTGTATTGACATCTCGCAATAACAATTGATATGCAATGCATGCTCATCACCACCTCGTTAGGATGGCATTAAGACTCGGTTGATATGCATATTAAAACTCAGTGGGTACCATTAAAATGGGCATTAATACTCGGTGGGTACCATTAAAATGGGCATTGATACTTGGTGGGTACATTAAAATGCCTATTATGTCATCATGTCGATGTGCATTTAAATGGGTCAAAATACTGACTGTTTGATCATAATGTATTATAATAGGTCCGTGTCGTTAGGCCATTTTAATGGATTAAAATGCCGTAAAAAAAGTTCCAACATAAGCCATGGCATGATTGTGGGTAACATGATGTGATGACTCATTGTCACATCGGTATGATTAGATTAAACTTGTCATTACGCAGGGTACATCCAGACTCCAAACCATCAGCGTAGACTGGTGACCAGCCTGTCTATGAGGCAAGCCGTTGATAGACGGACTGGTAAATCTGGGTTTGAATTTGGATGTCGGGCCGATTCTCACAGTAACGTGACGTATAAGCCTTTTCAGGCATAACAAAACCACGTGAGCTTTTTGCTAAGCCCTTGCAAAGAGTCACTAAGTCCTTGTCTGTGATCGACTTCGACAACGGATCATTCGAGTGTGTTAGCTGCCGGGCAGCACCGTTCGATGGTTGTTTCATCGCCCATGTAACTTATTTCTACTAACTATCGCTATTTCTATTACTGTCTTCGGTCTATCACTGCCTTCAACTTGACCATTATGCGAGACTCTTTGATCATCCTGGATAGTGACTTCAATCATTCGGTGGACTCTGGCTTCGTTGATATCATGGCACCATGCACCTCCAAGGCTGTTCCAACTTCTCCTAGACTTTCACCACATGAACATATCTGAGGGTCTGAATATAATCGATGGGGTGTCGTTCTTTGATTAAATCATGCGCAAAATGATCCAGCGCATCAAGAGCATTGTGAATGGCTTGGATGATGGAAGATTGGTCCATTGAATTTGCAAATACTATAGTTTGCGTCGTGTTGCGTTAATAACAAGATAATTATATCATTTAGTTCACATTCATCGAAAAGCACTCGTTTTCTCATTGGCCAGACATCACATTATTGTGAAAATCCGCTCGACATCCAAATTCAAACCCAGATTTACCAGTCTGTCTATCAACAGCTTGCCTCATAGACAGACTGGTCACGAGTCTACCATCGGCGGTGTGTAGAGTCTCATGTTAGTACATTCTGAATACAATACATTTTTTGAACCCCGCACCTTAATTCAAACACCGCAACTTTTGGACTCTACACACCTAGCCAACTGGCACAACTTGTTGTGGCGTCAAGTTTACCACTGTTTGCATTCCTTCCGAATGATGGATCAAGCCATCAGGTACACCGGGAAGCTTATTAGTACAACGGCAGGTGTGACAAGGTAATATTTATATTATATATATTCATATTATATAATTATATTTCTAAATAACCAGTAGAGCATGATGAATGCACGAGAATGGGAGTAGAATCATGCAAAACATGAGGTGAGGAGTACAAAATGAATACAGTACCACTCCACTGTCCACCACACAAGAATGAGCCTCGAACTTCGACTGACAAGTGTCCTGTGGTGCCTGCAGCAAAACAACCTGTCAGCAGCGGGTAAACCCCAGGGTAGCGGCGCCCCTCACCCACACCCATACCCCAAGGTATACCCATACCCTCAGCGCAGGTATGGGTTTTATCATGGGTAAGAGGGAAAAGCACCACAGGTACAACCCGTCGTGGGTGTACCTGCGGGTACAATGACATATGGCAGGGTACAAAAAAAACTACAAACTAATACTTAAGACAACTGAATTCTATCTCACCTGGCCTCAAGCTCTTCCTCGTCACCTTCAGCATCAGGTAAGGAGCTAACTTTAACAATGTCTTCAGTCTTGATGAGGTTGAGCTGACTCCAGTAGTTAAGGCACAATAGTGCGCGAGTCGACTCTGCAGTGAGGCGAGAACGAATGTGAGATAGTAAGAGGTGACCGCAACTGAACAACTGCTCGACATCGACTGAGGTAGCTACAAAACAACGTCAGACGCTCTGAACAATTGGCAATGAGAAAAACATTGGACTCACCAGGAATTGTAAGGTAATCCAGTGCCATCCGTGACAGACATGGATAAGTATCACGGTGCTCATACCACCAGGTGATGGGGTCGATAACATGTTCAATGTCTGTGCCGAGATAGCGGTCCAGCTCATTAGTTGAGTTGGTCTTGGGTGCTGCAAGTGCTGGAATATTATCGAAAATGTTCTAGAATCAGGTCAGCAAATGAAAGGTAGAGATTCTTAAACTGAACGAACCGTCTGTGAGTTGTCGACAGTTGGTCCAGCATCCATCAATGTGTTGTTGTCGATGATCTCCAACTCCAGATAGGAACAGTTGAATTCTGTGCGCACCAGGGTTTCCGCTGTCTCAATCCACTCCTCCTCCCAATGAGCCATCTTGAAGTAGGATAATTTGTGACGCAGGTGTAGCACTATGTAGAAAAACAGAATGATCAGTGGTTTCAAACAAGAGAAAAATAAAACACCACTCACCCATAGCAATACAATATACGTCGGATTTGTCCGTCATTTGATAGTAGCGATTGAGGGTCAGCTTGGCTAGTCGTACAGCTGCACAAATGGATGGTAGGTACTTCTTGCTGCGGGAATACATTGTAAGTCGTTCGTTGATTAAGTCCATGGCAGGAATGACTGTAGCAAGGTTGGGGGTCGAGCGTGAGAAAAATAAAGTTGTGTCTTTCAGAATCTGCCAGTGGTACCTGCTTAGCAAATCAACTCAAACAAAGACAAAGACACACCTTCAGTACATCCCACAGTTGCTCAGATATCTCCCAGTCACAGTCTGTGAGCTCCAACTTGCGCAAATCTACCTTTCGGCGCTGTGTCACCATGTCGATAGCCTTCTGATGTCCAAGAGAATACTCGAGCATGTCAAAAGTCGAGTTCCACCGGGTGGACGCATCTTGTGGCATATTAGTCTTTGTCATCCGCAAGTCGCCAAGGATCTCATGCCAGGCTGGGAGCAGGATTGTTGTGGAATTTATAAGCTTATATCCAAGCTTGTGCAGCTTGATGGATTCTTTAGTTCAAAGGTGCGCATATATGTTTTTGTATACTTACCTTCAGGAGTACCAATTTGACCAGTTGTATCTTTTTTTTGCAGTTTGTTGTGCTCGTCTGCTGGCAACAATCCAACATCATCCACCCAGCCATCATTGTTGTCTGTCAATTCATCATCTGAGTCTTGCGAAATAATTCTGTATTCATTCTCATCATCATTCCTCAGCTCATCGATTTCATTTGCTACCTCCGCATCCTTGCCATCCAAGCCTCCATTGGCTTCATTTTTTGCCACGTCAAACTCATGAATGAGGGACTTCGCTACAAGATTGATGGTGTGCAGAAAGCACCATGTATGACTCACGCTCCCTGCAAACTTGGGCACCAATGTGGCAAGATCTGTGATCATTACATTGTTGTTAGATGCATTGTCGCACGTAACACTCAGGATCTATGGCTCGCGACATTAGCTAGTAAGTCCTTTTGTTATTTTTAGATTGATACCTTTTCTGACACCCCAAATTCCTCTAGCATGCCTGCAAAAACAGTTGCGAGCTCCTCGCCAGTATGTGACTGTGTGCATTAACATGTCAATATATGCACAGTCTGAGTAAGTCATTTCCGTACTGTCGCGACCTCGATAATATCTAATGGGAAGCTTAGTGGGACACCTTGGTGCTCCAGGTGGACTGAGAATGCCACAAATGCACGGTGGTTCATCGATGTCCATCCATCAGTGGTAAAGTTCATTTTACCATCATATTCTTTGTGAGTTGGGTTAGCCTTAGTATGATCAATTGCGAAGAAACTAACCTGCAACATTTTAGCAATTTGTTGGTGTGTACGAGCAAACACGAGTTTGACATCTTGTGCAACAGTTGTGGGGGAAGGTATGTAATATTCTGGCCTTCCAGTCTTCATCAACAACTGAAAAGCTCTGTCTTTCACGATCTCGAATGGCCGCAGGCTTTCTGACACCCAGCAGACTATTTCAGCACTGCAACATTGTCAGTTCCCTCTCAGTTTCTATTGCAAGCTCAATTACACACCTTGTCTCAGTGCGTGTATGCTGATGGTGAGTGTATGTAACCTTCCCCTTCCCCTTACATTCAAAAGACTCTGTGATTGACCCATCTCATAGGATACCGGTAACGATTTTTGTCTGGACCTCCTTTGCATCCTTTGCATTGTTAGCAGCAGTCAGTGCAGCATCCCCCCAGCAGGACTTGACATGCTTCCGCATGTTGCCTGTTGACCGTGCATCGTTTTTATCGAGGAACCTTCAAATGGTTGTTTTGCATCCATCTGCATCACATTTAAATTCATGTGTGCGGCACCCATTAATTTCAACAATGCGAGGAGTAGGGTTAAAGAAGGCATATACTGGTGAGGTCCATTCTTTCATTAGTTGATCTATGCTTTCATTAACAATATGATTTAAATTAATGATTCATCTTACTTAGCACGTCTTCAGGAGTCTCGACATCTGGACTTGATTCCCGCACTGGTATGTTGTCTTCGTCTTCACTTGTGTCCTCAACCATGGTTGCATTCTGATGTACTTCTGCTTCTTTGGTTTGAACAACAGTGTAATGTGCCTGCAACAGAGGCTTCGGTATGGCAGGGGATGGAGGCTCCTCGGCAGCGCCATTCAATCGGGTAGGTTTTACCCTTTTTGATTGACCGGGTGCCATCTGATCTGCATCAGGCTGGAAACTTGGCGGGCAGTTTGTGAGAACATATTTAGATGCATGTGGTAGTTGTAGTGTGTCAAGGTTTAGTTTGACAGACTGTACAGTTGTGCTTCACGGAGTTTATGTTTTGTTTGGTTGTGTCAACCCGAGCCAAGGGTATGGGTAAGGGTACAGGTGGCGCAAGATCAGACCCACACCCACACCCGAGGGGTACCCCCACCCACCACCCACACAGGTTTTCAAAACCCATGCATATGCCTAGCAGCGGGATTCATCAGTGCAATATTGGACAGCAGACATACGACTCACGCTGCCAGCAAAGACTCACTGAAAATGAATGCAGCTCACATTTGTGTGCAGTTATCCAATAATGAGGACTCACATACATTGGCTTTTTTCCTGGGCAGCGGGAACACTACGCAGAGAGCTGTGTAAGGAGGTTGCTGAGCTATTGCTCGAGCACCACAGCCTCCACTTCAAGGCCACCTCCGCGACTGTGGAGCAACTGGAAATGACTTTTATGAGTCAGCTCGCCGTAACAATGCAAGGAGTTGCTCCAAACCTTTGGAACCTTGTCTCAGCTTTACTTGACAGCAGAGAATACCGCCATCGAAAAATGCTGCACCCTGCTGGCCACATTCCAGCACCTGAAGATACCCCTTCACAGAATGAGATGGACTTGGGTGAATTGGGTGGAGATGAGCCATATTTTGAAGACAATAATGATGGGGATGAAGAGGATGATGGGGTGTTTGACAAATGACCAAGGAAATGGCAGTGTTGTGTGGGTGAAAGGAATGTAGTGCTACAACACATCATGAGTGAAGTTTTGATCTTTGGTACCTAAGTGCAGCCGCTAACTGTAACCAGAAAACGGTAGTGATAATCAGCATATGCATGCAAAACACAAACAAAAGATGCAACTGCTTACAGGGCTGGATGGGCTTTTTCATGAAGTCAACAGGTGTCCCTGAGAAGGTCATCAAGGTCATGGCACACGCAGGGCTGTCCGTCAACCTGTCCACCATATATAACATGGTGACATCTATTTTGAAGGAGATCAGCCGTGACATCAAAAGGGAAGTCCACACGCTCTGTGCAGCATTTGCATATGACAATTTTGATATTGCCTTCAATGTTGCCCAGCCAACACTCGAAAACCACTCCTTCTTTGTCAGCACAACATCCGCCACTGTGATTTCACTGTATGGTGTTGATGAAAGTAACGAGGAGGTGTTGCGGAGCTCGGCAAAGTTGTGGGCCTCTGATCCAAAGAATCCATCGCCGTCATTATTCCCACTGATGAACGAAAGCAGAAGCTTTTTAATGCTTCACAAAAAGGACACCTACAATCAGCAAATGAATCCAACACAGCTGAGTGGACAAGAGGAGGCTTTTGCATGGCATATTTATGCCATCCTTATCCAACACAATCAAAACTTCAAGCACTTTGCAGACAAACTTGACGAGCCTGAAACCATCCAGAGGATACCTATACACAAGACCAATCAGATACCCTGCTGCTCAATGAATATCAAGCAGTCTACCACAGATCGAAACATTGAAGTCTTGGACAACTTGTTTCACCAGGGAGGTATCAGGGACAAAAGTGAGGTCAACTTTGATGCAGAACACGATGTTGACATGACAGAACATGTAATTCTGGTTCATGGAGACCTATTAACAAAGGAGTGGGTTGACAGTGTGCGGAACAGCCAAAAAATTGAGCACACACCGAAAAATCGTCTCCAGTATGTTGTGTTCCTCCCAGGACTCTTTCACTATAAGATGGCATGTGCAGATGCATTGTGGTGCACATACATTCATCCAAAGGAAGGGTGCGAGGATGATAATAGCCTCTATCAGCACATTGGGATCCTTTGACCTGATGAAACAGGGAAAATGGTCAGTAAACCTGGATTTCGATGTGTCCATGATATTGTTCACCATGACATCTGGGCATCAATGGTCGACTGCTGGCATCTTGAAGCAGAGAGCCGAAATACTGAATGGTCGACGTTAGAAATATTCGCCGCGTCAAAGCCAGTCTGGGAAGATATAATAAATATGTCCCATGTCATCATAAAAAAGTTCATTGTGATGACCCAAGATCTGGACACAGCATGGGAAAAGCCGCCACTACAATGAGACAAGTGTTTCGAGAACCAGACACTGCATAATCATGATGAACTTTTGTACATTGACCTTTGTCAAGCCATGAACACCGGAGATATTGGTTGTGTTGAAGCATTGTTTCTCCCTTGGATTCATATGTTCAAAGCTACTGGAAAGCATAAATATGCATCACAGATGTCAAGGTTCCTGATGAACCTTCAATTCAATTATCCAGTGGCTTTGAGGTGAGGAATTCTGTCTTGCTGAAAATAGATGTTATCAATATATTTGACACAGTAATATAGTGCGGATGAACTTACTATGTAACTTAACCGGCAAGCCATTTGCTTTTTGTGCAGTTGACTGGGTTGTCGAGTGCAACAATTTGTATACAAAGGTTAGCGAATGTAACAGTTGATGTCAAGAAACTAAAAGTAATAATTGACAGGTCATATTTCATGGGGGCAGTCCAAACAGCACACTGGATCACATCATCAAAGAATCGCCTCTCATTGAAGTATACCGAAACTGCCATGTAATGATGGAAAATGCATTCCATCTTCAGCATTGCACAATCCAACATGCTGCACCTGACATGACGAAGACAATTCAGAAATTGGCAGCGCGAATCAAACAAAAGAATCCACATACCAAGAAGGAAGGCTGAAGTGTGCTACATTCAATCCCAGATCAAATTGCTGTGGGTATGGCTTTAATACAAGAGCAAAAGGTAGTCAGCGAAGAAGATGCAGGGACATTTGAACTAGATGCAGATGATTTTATTGACTGACCTTACAGTACTAGGTCCTGCCACTGGCTTGTTCTCTGCATTCGCGTTCTTTGTGCGAGATGATTTTGGTTTCAGGATGTACTTCGGACAGAGTCTATTTGAAGCTATTGGTGTGTCAATTAAGGTTGGCAAGTAGTGTCAAGAGCATGTACCTATGTGAAGATTACTCCCACATGCTCTGCATTTCCATGCTGCTCGCTGCTTAGTGCTGCTACCAGCTGCAGGGTGAGGCTGGTTTATCACTATCGAGGATCCAAGGACTGCCAATGGCGCAGGAAGTGGTGGATGCACTGATGGCAGTGGTGGTGGTGGTGGGAGCCCCTTCAGTGACAAATTCCATATTATATGGGCCACCTGACCTCCATAATATCCCATATGAGACGGGCCAGCTGATCATGGGCCCATGTTGTGTATATTCTCGATGATGACGGATGGGCCGGGACACATATTATTTCCGATGGAGACAGGTGGGCCCATGTATGCCAATGATATATATATCCTTAATGTTGACGGATGGGCCAGGGGAATATGATCATTCATGGAGATGGGTGGGCCCATCTGGGTGATATGTAGAGTAGGATATTATAGACAGCTGGGCTGAAGAGAGATGTAAGGCAAATATTGTTATATAGACGGGTGGGCCGAGGTAGGGGAATATTACATAGATGGGTGGGCTGACATAGGGTGTATTACATATAAAGGTGGGCCGACATGGAATGTATTACATATACGGGTGGGCCGACGAAAGGGATATCAAATAGACCGGTGGGCCGAGGGTGCGATAAAATATTTATTACATAGACAGGTGGGCCGAGGTGGGGTATAATTATATAGACGGGTGGGCCAACATGGGATGTATTACATAGACGGGTGGGCCGAGGTGGGGGATAATACATAGACAGGCGGGCCGATGGGGGTGTATTACATATATGGGTGAGCCTAGATATGTTCCATCAAGACATGCAGCTGATGTAGCCACCAGCGAATCAAACACGTAGGATACATGTACACTATGAGTGCATATACCTACCATCGACCACCAAATCTAAACCCCTAAGCACAAAAACATGAATCGACCATGTGTGGCATTGACCAATAATCGAGGACTGAAGTGGAAAAACCCCACACCTGAACCCTGGTGTGCAACAAATCCTATTTCTAAGCATGGACACCAGAAGCACAACACTCACAAAAATATATATGTCAAGTTTTCAGTGCCAAGCCCCAAACCGAGATGTACCAACCCCCAAACCCCAAAACCCACATTGACTTACCCATGTTTGCAATATATTTTTGTTTAGACATACTGAGTTCCGAGTTCCAGACACCCGAACCCCGAAACCCGGCAGTCTCAGGTTTCGGGTTTCGGGTGTCCGGAACTCAGAACTCGGTATGTCTAAACAAAAATATATTGCAAACATGGGTAAGTCAATGTGTTGTCAACTCGATTGTAAATTAAATTGTATTGATCTCCCCAAATTTCCCTGAGTGCCGAGTTCCGGACACCCGAGACCCAAGACCCGGCAGTCTTGGGTTTGGGGTTTCGGGGGTTGGTACATCTTGGTTTGGGGTTTGGGGGTTAGTAAAATGTTTACAGATATACATAGGTTGATTTAAACATGTCTGGAAGATGTCGTTCGTCTCAAATGTCAAATCCTGAGTTCTGGGTGTCAGGACTTGGTACCCGGCACCTGGGACTCGGGGTTCGGCACTGATAATTTGACATTCGGGTGTTCGGGTTTCGGGTGATATCTATCTCAATCTGCAGTTTCGAGTTCTGGATATCGGGAGTGATCATTGAATGATTCAATTGTGGCATAGGTAACATGCATGGAAAAACATTTATGTACATCTATCACTGAGCAATTATGTAGCCATGTCAACCTTCTCACCAGGAAGATCAACCTTTCCCTCAACATCCATCTCATCATCAGAAGAATCATATTCTGGCAAGAGGTTACCTGGTTCATTAGGGACCACAATATCACCGGGGAATTCTGGCAGGAGGTTGCCTGGTTCATCAGGGAGAACAATTTTGCCGGAGGATTGTGGACCCTCAGGCTGAACTTGGGTGGGCTCAACCATGGGACCTACCATAGCAGATCCATGCTCAGGCGTCAAGGGTGTAGGTTCCATGCCGGAAAAGTCCAAATCAATGAGGTTGGAAAGTGCAGAGGGGAGGGGTGACATGGACGGGGGGGACCTCCTTGATCAAGCAACATTGATCCATCGGCCGGTGTGTCCGGAAGTGAAAATGAAGGGTGCTGGTCGACCACTGTGCGCTGGAGGCTCTCATGGAGGCATTGCAGGGTATCAATCTTAGCGTCCTGCTCCTGCACCCGAGCCTCAAGAATAGTGATGCGAGCTGCACCATCCCGAATCACGATTGCCATGGAATGAAGATCCGGCATGGGAACATCGAGTGCTGCACGAGGCACTGCGACGCTGGAAGACCTGACTGCTAAGTAAAAAATTAGGTCAGCCGGTCATCAAAAGTATGGGTGACTTACCAGCTGGTGCAGGTGCAGGGACAGGTGCAGGGACAGGTGCAGCTGCAGCTGCAGATGCAGGTGCAGGTGTCTTCTTGGTAGTGATGGTCTTGCTGCGACCACGTGACTGCACCTGGGGTGTAGTTGCAGCAGGGATGGCCGGAGTTCGGGAAGGGCCACGAGATTGACTACGAGTTCGGGCCCTTGACCGGGAGGGAGACGGAGCATTGGATGGAGCAGGGGCAGGTGTCTTGGAACGCGTCCGGCCGGTGGTAGACTTCCCTCGGGTACGTTTGGGCAGCGATCCCAGAGATGCAGGGTTGCATTTGATCTTCTTGGTGGAGCAGCGGATGCAAGACAAGCAGGGGAGGCTGGACCTCTTGTCCAATCGAGTCGCACAGGGCCATTTTTCCTTGACACAATAATGACAGGGGTTGTTCTGTGGTATCCGTTAGTAGATGGATGAAGGGGAATTTATTTGAGTACTCACTGGGCCAGGAATGGTGATATCAAATGTGGTATTGGCCGGCGGGTCACCATCCGAAGCACCGGAAGTATCATCAGAGGACTCCTCCTCAACTTCCGGACGACTGCCGGAGGTTGCCTGACCGATTGTTAATACACATATGAGTTTCTGGACAACTTCTAAGACTTACCCGAGCCTCTGGACGACTGATGGGAGATTTCTAATGTAATGGGAATGAGTGGGAACTATACATGGGAGGTCCGGACAAGTCCAAACAACTCACCGTAACCTCCGGACGACTGCCGGCAGTCAGCTGTGGACACATGAGCATATATTTAAGGTCCAAACGAAAAATGCAAACTTACCAAAGCAGGCCCAAATGATTGCTTCTTGGGGGAACCGGGTGACCGAGGCGACTGGGGCTTCCTTACCACAATGGTGCGCTGGGGAAGGACGACCTCCGGCACTCCACGCAAAATCGGCTGCAACAAATTGAGAGCATGTCACAAATCAGCCAGAACACATACCTGAACAATTGGGTCTTCATCATCTTCCGACTCCACAAATGGCTTCGACTTGGGGATTTGAGTTGACTTGACACGCTTGCGAGCCTTCAGCGCTGACTTTGGAGGTTGGGAGGAGTGTCCAGAAATCATTGGAGACTTCCTCTTGTTGCTCCCCCCAACTTCCGGCTCCAGGTCGACGGAGGTGGCCTTACCTTTTCCTTTGTCCCGGACCTCGGGGGTCATCTTGCCGGAAGGTCCGGCAACAACCGGAGGTGAGGCAATGACGGGGGTGGGGGAAGGGACAGGTGCAGATGAAGGGACAGGTGGAGATGGAAGGTTGAGAGTGAGTGGGCCAGTGGAAATGTTAGGGACAACAGGGAGATCACAGGAATTGTCACCCAACGCCTCCCAGGCACGGACTTGCTTGCGCCAGGCGTGTCTAGCCACCCGGGGGTCATCGTAGCCAATGCTGTGCCAGTTGGGCAATGCCCGGGGAGTCATGGAACGCACCTTCATCAGCTCCTTAGAGCAGGACGCCACAATTCCAGGGATGTACTCCCCTTTCTCATGGGCCCGGATGATGTCAGCCTACCCGGACATTACAAACATTAATGTTACACTAATTTAATAAGTTCAACATACCAAAAGAGTGGTGACCTGCTTTGTTAGAACAAGGTGGACGTCCACTGAGCTGGCCGGGATGTGCCATGCGCTGGCAATGATGCCCACAAGTTGAGCAGTGGATGCCTTGAGGTTGGCCAATGAAGATTGAACTTGAGTAGACATTTGGATGGAGTTGACAGATGTGAGAATGTTGAAAGCAGGGTGAAATCTGTTATCAATAGAATGAAGTTTCAAAGAAACAATACAATTGAAGGACAATGTTGAAAATTCATTGATTGATTGTGTTTGTTTGGTCATCATTCAACTTTCGGCAATCGCCGGCCATGTGTTGAACTTCGACGTTATCAGTTATCAATCAGTTCATCAGTGCATCAGCTCATCAGATATCATGAGCTCTCAACCTGGGGTCAGATTTCATGACCCTCCGGTCACTGAATTTACTTCAATGGATGTGGATGAGTCCTCCCAGTCCCGGATGTCCCTTGGTATGTTTTGATTTTTCTGATTTCAGTCAATTGATCTGACATGATTCAGATCCATTAGATGATATATACCTTGGGCCGGATGATGAGTTAGACTCTGATTCTGGGTCGTCCGGTGGTTTGGATGTGTTGAATGTGATTCCCAGTATGTTTTCCAATTCAAATGTACATATTTTACATGTGCAAATTCATCACATACTTCCAGATCCATCATCTCCGGCTCTGGCGGATGGACTGGCCCTGTACGATGACCCGGACTTGTATCTTGGTCTGGAGGATACCTTGATTTCGTCTGATGATGCTCCGGTTG